AGATTCTAAATACAAGTCCTTCATCAGATATACGATTTGTAAATATTTTCTCCCATTCTTTTCACTTTCTTAATGATATGGTTTATAGCTAAAAAGTTTTAAAAATTTGACCAAGTTTAATTTATCTATTTTTTACTTTTATTGCTTTTGCTTTTGGTGTCGTGTCTAAGAAGCAGTTGCTGAACTCAAGTCACAAATATTTATTCCTATGTTTTCTTCTGAGAGTTTTGTAGCTTTATCTCTTGCATTTCAGTCTATAATCTGTTTTGTTTATTCATTCGTTAGCTGATGAACACGGATTGCTTCTGCTTCTTGGCTACTATGATAATGCCGCTATAAACATTTGTGTACCAGTTTTTGTGTGAACATAGGCTTTCATCATTCTTGGGTACATAACTTCTGTGCATGATGTGGGGTGAGGTCCAGCTTCATCCTTTGCATATGGACATCTAGTTGTCCCCGCACCACTGGCTGAAAAGACTTTTCTTTCCCGCTGACTGGTCTTGGCAGCCCACCTCTCTTCTCTGCTCCTTTGGCTTTGCACAGCACTGCCTTCTTAGTGCTCTTCCCTCCTTACTGTTTCTTCTTTCCCTGTCTCCTTTGAGCTCCTCTTCCTCCTCAGGCTACCCTCTCTTCTCACTCCAGATGTTCCCCAAGGTGATTTTACCTGCGGCCTGCACACCAGCCCTCTCTCCATGGATTTTCAGACCCATACAGGCAGCCATCTGTGGGCACCTGCTCTTAGAGATGGCCCAGGGAACCCCCCACTCAGCCCATCTGAAACTGACCCAGGCCTGTCCCCCCATACTCATTCTCCCAGTCCTCTGAGACACAGATGCCAAGACAGAAACACCTATTTAGATAAAGGAGAGGGGAGCAGGAGGAGGGAGGGAAAACTTCCTACACATTGCAGGCCTGACATCTGTGAAGGAAGAGAGGAAAGGAGAGACTGGGTAGGAAAAGCCTCATGCTGCAGGGCAGCTCTGAGAAACTTGCCCGGGGTGATGGGAGGCTCTGGTGCAAAGCTTGCCCATTACAAGAGTTCCGTGTTAGGCAGGAATGGCCCTGCTCCCAGGTACCCAGGGAGCTCAGTGACTGTGCGCAGCAGTGCTCCCTCATATGCAGCCACTGGAGGCAGGCAGCCAGCCACACCCCTCCTAGCACGTCCACTCTGCGAAGGAGACCTAAGCACACACTTCCTCCTGCCAGGTCTCCTCCCAGCAAATGCATTTCACCCACTGGAATCCAGCTGCCTCCCCTCAGCCCCAGCAGCCATTCTGCCCAGCCTGCCTCCTAAGCATAGCTTCTATCCAGGCTCTCTCCTTTCATCCTAACTGCATCCACCTTAACCTAAGTCATCTTTATCTCTTGCTAGAAAACAGCTGCTGTGCTGTAGCACCTTGCCCTGCCCCTGGGCCTGCCTCCTAGCCCTCCACCCCTCCAGCCCTCCAATCCATCCTCTTAAAAGTAAAGATCAACCAAATAGCAAACCTGGAGGCCTTGCCTTCTTTGTCCCCCATGTGGAGTAATGAAAGACTCCACCTGTCACCTCTTAAGAGCCATTCCTGCCCTCTATGACTGGCTGGGCACCTGCCTACCTTTTCCCAGTGCCCCATACATGCCACCCCCTCACCCCCACCACGGCCTTTGCTGTCACACATCCTACACTCTTGCCCAACGGGGTCATTCACATTCCCTGGACTCAGGCTCATGCTCTTCCCTGCTCCTCAAATTCCCTGACTCAGGGCCTATTTAGATCCTATTCACCCTTTAACCTCGTCCAAATGATGCCATCTCCAGCTGCCTTCCCAAGCCCACCCAATCTTACTCTTACTCTGGGCTCCAAGTTTTTTTTTTTTTTTTTTTTTTTAAGACAGAGTCTCGCTCTGTCGCTCAGGCTGGAGCGCAATGGTGCGATTTTGGCTCACTGCAACTTCCACCTCCCGGGTTCAAGCAATTCTCTGCCTCAGTCTCCTGAGTAACTGAAATGACAGGCACACACCATCATACCTGGCTAATTTTTGTATTTTTAGTGGAGATGGGGTTTCACCATCTTGGCCAAGCTGGTCTTGAACTCCTGACCTCATGATCCACCTGCCTCGGCCTCCCAAAGTGCTGGGATTACAGGCATGAGCCACCGCGCCCGGCTCCTTCTCTTTTATTCCACTGGAACTGTTTATCTGGCATGAGGTCAAATGTGCTATGCCTGGGTGTGGATGCCAAAAGTCACCCCTGTTTTTTCCCAGGCTCCAATCAAATTATTCATCCATCTGAGCTGGCAGGAAAGCAATCTGATTAATGTGGTTGCTCACAAAATAGAAAAAGCATGCCAGGCAAGAGCACCTGGCCAATGGGTGGGGACACGTGCCCAGAGAGGGAGGGGGGATGGGGCTTCAGACACTCTTTAAGGTCTTTGCAGCTTTCCTCTGAAACATGGTAGATGAAGTCCTGCAGGTCACACCTTGAGCAGCAGCTCCTAGGGCAGTGTAAGTAGTGCAAAGAGCTCACATTGCTGTCCTCCCTGTGGAAAGCCCTGGACTCACCGTGAAGCACAGCAGACATGGCTATCATTCTCCATATCCTAGCACTTTGAGCAAGAGGAAAGCCCACATGGGAGAGATCTGGGCATCTAAGGTATTTTACCTGGAAGGTGACTTAACAATCTTGTCTGGCCTGCTGTGCTGCAGAATGACAGTGAGATCAGGTGCTGCAGGAAAGAAACATGAGCTGCTGTTTCAGGCTTTGTCATTGTGGTAGACCTTGGAATACCCTGTCTGGGTACAGGATAATCCCTAACCCGCCCTGGATTCTGAGTCCCTCCTTCCACCGCAGAAGCCAGAGATCTTGTGTGGAAGGCACAAGGTGCAGGCAGGTGATTCAGGTGCTGCCTGCCAGTCAAGAGTACACAGCAGACTTCTAATGACAGCATAGTCTCTTCTGGAACATGCCTGCAGTGGCTTTGAGCTCCACTCCAGTGCACAGCATCTCCCAGCCTGATTCCCTGTCCTCCTATGGAGTCTGGGGACACCTCCAAATCCTTTTCCCCTTTAAGTGGCTATAGTTGCTTTCTGTTGTTTGTTCCCAAGAGCACAGACTGATCTATCTTCTTTGAGGGGAGAAATATGAAATCAGAAATACAAATTTCTCCTTTAACAAGATTGTTAGGTTTCCCCAAAATGTTTGTGAACATTTTCAAGCTTCGAACATACAGAAACGTTGGAAGGATTTTGAAGCAGACACCCACATGCCCACTCCCTGAGCTGGACAGCTTGCAGGCCACTACGATTCACCACACAGCCAGCCGGTCACCGTCGCTCTACCAATCACCCATCTGATTTTTAAAAATTAGCTTTTCATCAGCAAATGGTATTTCTAGTTAGATCTGTTAGACTAAGAATAAAAGTTCCAAATCCAGTCATGTTTTCTAGATGGTTTTCTTTTTAACCTTGTAAGCTACCAAGAACAAAAACAAAGGCCAGAAACGGACTAGAGAACTTGCCTTTATTATAAAGTACACCTTTGGGCTTGTGTTTTGTTCCCAAACCTTGTGCATCATTGTCTGGGATAACTGCATAAAATGATAGGACGATTTCCTGGTGAGAGGCAGTGTGTTCTAGGTAAGAGCAGAGCTGAATCCACTGCCTCACTGTGTCCCTGCTCTGTCCACACCGGCAGCTCATGCAAAGGCAGGGTGATCATGCAGGTGAAATGGGTGGATTGGTGTCAAGCATGTGGAACAGCACCTGGCACACAGGAAACGCTCTGTAAAGTTCCTGGGGAGATTCACAACAGTTCATAAACTGATCTGTTGACAATGAATGGGCAGGAGCCTCGGTTGCTTTATTCTCTTTGGGTCGCTTATTTTCTAGATTCCTAAAAGCCTCATTTGAACACCTAGTATTTAGATAAACCATTTCAAAAACACTTACTTTTCTACTTGAGTCACTAGTTGATGAAACGCTTCTTGTGGTTCGCTGAAACCTAAATCGGAGACACAGCTTTTTGTTCTGCTTTGATGGATTGTGGGGAGATAAGGCTGCAGAGGTAGGCTGGGGCTGGGTCACTGAGGACTTTGAATGTCAGTGTAAGGAGCCTTTCTCCTAAGGGTAAAGGGACCACTTGTCTTTCAGCATATTTGACACTAGCAGCTGTAATAAGCACACATATGTGTACATGTACACACACTACACGAGCACGCATATGCACATGCACAAATCACATGTGTGGCTTAACAACTTTCCTTCTCCCTTTTACAAAGCCCACTGTGGATATTGCAAGTTGGGACACTACTCTACGAATGAGGATTCAGGGATCCCTGCTCCTTCCATCTTGGGAGCTCCTCCTTACTCCCACCCCTGGCTCCAGGAGAGTTCCTGCCGTGGGTGTGGTCTTTCCACCCACTACACCGGGCTTGGGCAGAGCCTGGCACAGCTGGGATCCTCACGAGGACTACCTTGCTGGGCTGCAGACTGCTCCAGAGTCCCCCAGAAACCCCTAAATGTCCCTGAAAAGATGAGCCCCTGACTGTGCTGTCAGCTCCAAGCAGCCTTTGTCAATCTCTCAATCCCCACGGATACTGGGAAAATCTAGTGATGTGTTCAGAACTCAGAGAGCGGTCTCTGGCTGCTGCTTTTTGTGGAAGATAGGATCCCTGAGTGGGAGGGCCAGACACCCTGGCTCCCCTGGCTGCAAGCAGCTGGTGGATCTGGACGCTCTAAAGTTGCCCTGGTCTGCATGGCCTGCTGCATCCTCTCGCGTGTCACTGTCTCACTATGACAGGTCTTACTCGCCCCGCAGAGCAGTGGCTTTCCAACACTAGACAGCACTAGAGTTGCGCGTGGACTTGTCAGGACACAGATTGCTGGGCTCCACTCCGAGTTTCTGATTCCAGAGCGAGGGCTGTAAACTTGCCTTTCTAATGAGTTCCCAGCATTTTTGATGCTGCTGGTCTTGAGACCACATTTTGAGAACCGTACTTATAAAGTGTGATCCCTCCGCAGGAAAGAACCAGGGCTATTTTTGCTTCAAAATCATCCGCCCTGCGCGCCCTGTTCAGTGCTTGAGACGTTGTGAATAAACCAATCAGGATGAAAAGAAGGAGCCGGCCCAAGTGCGGAGTGATGAGCTTCAAAGGAAGAAACCTGCGTTCACCAGGTGCAGGCCTGGGCCAGGCGCAGTCCTGGCGGTGTCAGGGAGCACACTGCGCCGGGAGCTCAGACCTAGCAGTGGGGCCGTGCGCCCTCCCTGTCCCGCGGCCCGCAGGCCCTGCCTCCACGCGCCCTGCCTCAGCGGCCTTTGTGGCGTCACAGCCGGCCTGAATGGTTGCCTTGGAGACGTAAACCAAAGAGCCCTGCTCCTGGAGCTGAGAACTGCCGCGCGGAGGCTTCGGAGCGAGCTGGGGCGGTCGGGGCAGGTGGGTGCGCGTGAGGCCGGGAAAGAAGGGGCGGGCGGGTTCCGTGAGGGCGCGTGGGGGCTGGGGCAGGATTTCGAGACCAGGGCCAGAGGGGCGCGCATGGCCTCGCCGGGAGCTTACCTCTCCGGCGCCCCTCGCGAGGCGCCTTGCAAGGCTCCCCGCCCTCTGCTCGTATGCCACTTGCTTGACACACACCCGTCTACCATCCACCTCTCTGTCCTAACATCCCTGTGCACCTTGCTGTGTGGCACGGGGGTTGGGGGACGCTGGCAGAGTTTGGGTGTTAGGAGACGACCCTGAGAACCCCAGGCTCACCCAATTAGGGGGCTGTCGCAGGAATGCGGCTGGAATGGCAAAAGCCTATAGTGGGGGAACGCTGGACCCTTTCCAGAGGCAGCCCCCCGCCTCCCGACTGTGACTTTGGGCACCTTGCTGAATCTCTGCTTTCTCCCTTGCAAAAATGAAATGAATGAAGTTAAGGAGTGCCAAGGGCGTGTCAGGAGCTTGGATGAGCAGAAAACAACCCCTGTTCTCTTGGAGCTCACATTTTAGAGAGAAATAGACAATGAACAGATTTTTAAAGTGATAATCAGTTAGTGGGAATTGCAGAGAAGAAAATAAAGGTCACACAGGGGTGGGGAGGGATAAATCACTTTGGATGGGATGGTGAGAGGTCTCTCTAAAGAGGTTGACATTTGAGCTCAGAATTGAAGAGAAGGGAGCCCACCACTCCCAGCTGGGTATAGGAGAATATATTTTGGCTGAGGAGGCCGAAAATGCAAAGGTGTAAGGCCAAGATCGATGTGTTATAAAGAAACAGAAGAAGTAGGCAGCTAGAGCCAGGTCCAGGAGGGGAGGGTGGACCCTCGGGTGGAAGAGGCAGGGAGCAGGCAGGTGTCCCCACACAATGATCCCCCACAAATGCTGGTGTCAGCCATCCAGGGCAAGGGAGTTCTGGGCTTGGGGACCACCTGGTTCAAGCTCTGTGTCACTCCCCAGGTGAGGATATCCTTTAGAAGAGGAGGAGCCTTGCATCAATCCCCTGGGCTTCAGCTAGGATGTCTGAGATACCATCCACTATGGTCTCCAAGAACGTGACCAATGACAGTAAGTGCTGGGCCAGGGTGGGTGCTCGGAGGTCAGAGCAGCCTTGGAGCCTGTCCAGCTCCCTCATGGGTTAAGGTGGCTCTAAACCAAAAACTAGGCAGGAGTCACAGATCTGTCCTCTTCCCTTGAGACAATGTGTATGGGTTCCCTGTGGCTGCTATAACAAAGCACCAAACTGGAGGGATGGAGCCTCAGACATTTGTTTTCTCACACTCTGAAGACTGGCTGTCTGAGACCAAGTTTTCCATAAGACTGGGTTCTTCCGAAGGCTCTGAGGGCGAGCCCATTCCAGGACTCTCTCCTGGCTTCTGGTGCCTTGCCGGCAATCCTCGCTGCTCCTTGGCTTGCGGAATCGTCATTCTCATCCCAGTCTTCCTGCCCATGTGGTATTCGGCCTGTGTGTGTCTGTGTCCAAGTTTCCCCGTTTTACAGGGACCCCATCACGTTGGACTGGAGGTCCACCCCACTCCAGAATGGAGTGACTTACAGCTTAGTGACTTACAGCTGCAAAGACCTTATTTCCGAACAAGATCACATTCTAAGACAGTAGGGGTTGGGACTTAGACACATGAATTGGGGTGGCAATTCAGCACACAACAGACCATGAGCAAGGTGTTACCGTGAAGGTGAGCTGCTCTCAGCGCCCCTCTCACTACAAATGCCAGGGGGGGCCCAAGGAGGTGGTTAGCTGGCACTAAGCCCTGGGTGAAACAGGCCTGCCCTAGTGGAATTGCATGCATCCACCAGGCTCTCACACAAGGCAGTGCTGAGGGAGGCTGCCCAGACCCATCTGGGGCCCTTCAGCTTTTCTATTGGAATTTAATTTAGTTTTGACCTGGCAGAGTATTCCATGGTTCAAAATTCAAAAGTGTATTAAAGGCCCCTCATTGTGGAAAGCCCCTCCCACCCTGTCAAAGACACAGTGTCCCCTCCTTAGAGGTGGCAGTGTCACCTGTCTCTTCTAGGCTACCAGCTCGGTGCACATACAGGCAAGTGTGTGTGGATGGGGCTTGTTCTTTTCTTTCATGGAGACCACACAATGAGAACCCTGTCTGCACCTTAATTTTTTAAATTACCCATACATTATGGAGACTGTTACTTAAGAATACGTCAAGAATACCCTCATACTTTTTGTGCTTTTGAGCAGAATAGTAATCTTTCATTGTGGCTATATCATAATTTATTAACCAATTCCCTGTGATTAGCTTGTTTCAGAATGTGTGCTGCTATAAACAGTGATCCCCACCATTACACTTACACAAGCAAACACTCTCTCATTCTCTTTTTTTGCTCCAGAGTAAATTTTAAAATGGAGAAAGTCTAGAATAGGGGTTTTTTTAAAAAAAAAGAAAGAAAGAAAGATAGCTTCGGCCAGGCGCAGTGGCTCACGTCTGCAATCTCAGCACTTTGGGAGGCCGAGGCGGGCAGATCATCTGACGTCAGGAGTTCAAGACCAGCCTGGCTAATATGGTGAAACCCCAACTCTACTAAAAATACAAAAATTAGCCAGCTGTGGTGGGTACCGGTAGTCCCATATACTTGGGAGGCTGAGGTAGGAGAATCGCTTGAACCCGGGAGGCAGAGATTGCAGTGAGCCAAGGTCACACCATTGCATTCCAGCCTGGGCAACAGAGCGAGACTCCGTCTCAAAGAAAGAAAAAAAAAGATAGCTTTGAAAGGTTTATAGATAACAAATTACTCTCAATATGCCCATAAAACAATGCAGATAATTATGCTACCAAAGGACAGTTGAAGGACGGGTAAACTATACTGATTTGTTTATTGGTATGAGGGGAGTGCCTAGCTCGGGTATCCTATGACCCTATAGCTTGGTAATCCCTCGAGATTGGTTGAGGGTCTGTGCATTTGTGAGAAAACCAGGCCAGACAGGCAGAGCTGGGATCCTCAGCCAGGGCCAGGGGGCTTAGAGTCAGGCGGGTCAGGGAGGTTGACATGGCCAAGGTGGGCAAGGGGCCTGTCCGGAGACTCCAGTCAGGAGTACTGCGGCACCCTGTGTCCTGGGGTTAGTTGCAGGAGCTGGGACAAAGGTAGGGGCCAGGATGACATTGAGTCACCTGGAGTGAGAGGTTTGGGGATGCTGAACCAAGTACATATAGGACCCTAGCCTCAGCCAGAGGGCCCAGGGCAGGGATGTGGAGGCCAAGTGGGGAAAGGGCATTCTAAGCGGCCAGTCAGGCCCAAAGGCCCTGAGGTAGGAGTGAGTGTGGCATGTTTAAGGGAGAGACAGGAGGCCAGCATGGACCTATTGGGTAGGGCCTGTGGCCCAGGAGGGCTATTGGGCTCTGACCAGATGATGGGAAGGATTTAAGAGGGAGACTGCCCAGTGTCTAGCTTTATGACTTTTGTGATGAGGATGCTGTTCGCTAAGCCTCAGCAGAGGGGCTGGTTTAACCACAGCCTCCCTCGAGACCTTGAGCAAGGCCTCTTCCCTGAAGTAGAGGACGGAGGGCATCTGATAGAAACCTTGGCCAGGCTGAAGAGTCAGGGAAAGCCACAGTGGACCACAGGCCTCCGCATTAGGGCAGGCAGGGGTGGGGCTACAGGAGTACCCAGAGCTCTGGCCCCATACCATCGGCACCTAGCCCAGTGTGGGGCTAGTTGAGGAGAAGGGCCTGTAGCTGGTCCCTCTGGGCCAGAACCCTGCCTAAGTCTCACTGGAGGTGTGAGGGGCTTGTTCCTTGAGTGGCCAAATATATTTCCCAAGACACCAGGCTCCGGGTACAAGACTTCAAGAGGAGCATGTTGGGAGAGGCTTGCCCCTGCTGAAGGAGCCGTGCGCGTATCAGGCCATGATGCGCTCCAGGTTTTCGCTGCTGCCTCTCAAGTCCACATCCCCCATGCTGGGAGCATCCGGAAAGAGCATGGGGTTGCTAAACTCACAGCTGGCCAGGCCTTCCCCCTGCCAGTTCTGGCTATGAGGGATGGGAAGGGCTGGAGGCAGGAGTTTCATTTGGCAATGTGGAGAAACACGGTCTTCAGTAATCTAGCCTTCATCTTGGGCCATCTAAAGCCCAGCCTGGTAGCCTCGTAGGCAGAGTGCGCCATCCACACATGCAGCCCACATCAGGCCACGCAGGGACCCACGATCATTTCACTGATATTTATGGATTTCACTTACCATGTGTCAGGCACTGTGCTGGGCTGGGGCACAGAGGCCGATGAGATGGAGGCACCTGTGATCTGAGCATTTAGGAGAGCATATATAGCAAACAGCTCTCCCCATTCACTGGCTCTATTCATTCCTGCAGCCCTGGCCAGGCCAGACCTCGCTCACTCTCACTCAGTGTCTTGGCACTGCTGTGTCCTCCACAGGGAATGCTCTTCTCCTGAATTGCCCTGGGGCTCCCTCCCTCATACCCCACAGGAGCTCACTCAAATGTCAGCTCCACATTTGAGTGAGCTCCTGTGAGCCTCCCCTAAACAAGGTAAAATGAAGCACCCCGCCTGCCCTGTGTCTCTCATTGCTGTTCCCTGTTTCATTTTCTCAGTGGCACGTTCTACCCTCTGGCCTCTCAACCTTTCCTCATTTGTGTTGCTTATTGTCTTGCTCCCATGCAGCAGGGGCATTTGTCCCCCCAGAGCCTGGCACATCACAGTTCTAGTCAAAACCTGTTAGCCTGCAAGCTCTCCCTCTAAGATCAGGAGCAAAACAATGATGCCCTCCTTCACCACTGTGGTTCAACACTGCACTAGAAGTTCTAGCCAGGGTAATTAGGCAAGGAAAAGAAGTAAAAGATCCAGATTGAAAAGGAAGAAGTAAAACTATTCACAGACAACACAATCCTCTATATAGAAAACCCCAAAGAACCCACAAGAAAGTTACTAGAGCAAATGAATGAACTCAGCAAAGTTGCAGGTTACAAGACCAACATAGAAAAACCAGTTTGTCTCTGTGCCCCAGCAGTGAACAGCCCATAAGGGAAATGGAGCAAGCAACTCATTGACAGTGGAGGTGATGTCATGGCAGAGTAGGAAGCTCCAGAAATCGCTACCCTGAAACAATTTTGCTGGCATGAATTATCAGAAGCAGCTATTCGGAAACTCTGGAGTTTAGTGAATGCTTACAACTTGCAGGGAATATCTTGATGAGGAGGCTGGGAAATTTTTGTGAATTTTTAGCATTTCCTGGGGCAGCTGTACCAGCCTCCAGCCCACAGCAGGAAGAAGGTGGCCTGCGTTCCTGGTACAGCTTGCTTGGTGACAGGGTTGGCAATAGCGATATTATCCTCCAAAAATCGATCTATGTGTTTGATTGCTGACCGTGGCCTGCTTCTGAGGGGCTGGCTCAGCAACTGGGCATTGTTCCAACCCCACGGCTTAAAGCAACTGCCTGGCCCTGTCAGTCAAGGGCTGTCCCTCCCCACCCGCTCCAAGCTTGAGAGAGCCAGACTTTTATCTGAGATTAGCTCATGTTTAGAAATATTTGACAAAGGACCGATATCAAGAATATAGAATGAACTCCTAACACTTAACAACAACAAAAAGCAAACAGCCAAATTCAAAAATGGGCAAAGGACTTGAGTAGATAATTCTAAAAAGCAGATATGCAGATGACCTACAAGCAGGAGGAAAGATACTCAACATCATTGGTCATTAAGGGAATGCAAATCAAAACCAAAATGAGATACCATCTCACACCCATTAGGATGGCTACTATCCAAAAATATAAAAAATAACAGGGGTTGGCGAGTGTTGGAAACAGATGCTTGGTGCTGCAAAGAAAACTCAGCACTGAGACAAAGGATCTCTCAGCAAAGCACTTTTTACTTCCTGCAGGAAGGGTACCCTCGTTAGCCATCTTGCCATGAGAGTACAATGAACAGAGGAAAAGCAGACATGTTTATCCTTTATACATTTGGGGTTGTCCTTACTGCTGTATCTGATCTCTGTTGGTTAGAGCCAGACTTCACAATCTAAACTAAAAGCCCAATTGGCTAATAGCTTACAACTTTTTTAAACATGTAAGGGGCTGCAAGCTG